CCAGAGTGACTTCACCAGTTTGCATTCCCACCAACACTGTAAGAGGGTTCCCCTTTCTCTGCATCCTCACCAACATCTGTTGTTTCCTGAGTTCATTTTAGCCATTCTGATAGGTGTGAGGTGGTATCTCATTGTGGTTTTGATGTCTTCTTTGGAGAAATGTTCGTTCATGTCTTCTGCCCATTTCTTGACTGGATTTTTTGTTGTTTGGGTGTTGAGTTTGATAAGTACTTTATAGATTTTGGATACAAGCCCTTTATCTGATAAAACATTTGCATATATCTTCTCCCATTCTGTAGGTTGCCTTTTAGTTTTCTTGTCTGTTTCCTTTGCTGTGCAGAAGCTTTTTATCTTGATGAAGTCCCAATAGTTGATTTTTGCCTTTGTTTCCCTTGCCTTTGGAGATGTGTCTAGCAAGAAGTTGCTAAGTCTGAGGTTGAAGAAGTTACTGCCTGTGTTCTCCTCTAGGATTTTGATAGATTCCTGTCTCACATTTAGGTCTTTCATCCATTTTGAGTTTATCTTTGTGTATGGTGTAAGAAAATGGTCCAGTTTCATTCTTCTGCATTTTTAAAAGTATACTGTCATTATTAAAAAACAATTACATACTTTTAAAAAAAATTTCACACATTTCACTTAGAATCACACTTCAAAGACTTTAATAGCTGCCTACTATTTTTTTCTAGAACATCTAGAATTGTTATAAGCAGAATGTGATGGAATTGGTTAAGACAGCCTGTTCTTTCGAGGGATTTGGGAAATACCCAAATGCTATAATTGAAGTAACTTAACTATTACCTCAAGGGAGCAGCAATAAAATAAGATTATAATAGAGAAAAAGGACAAATGAATTGGCCTTGGTAAATAACACCACTTCCTAAACATACTCTAAAGAATATGTCAACAAAAAGGAGGCTGCTCAGTAGGGGGTCATTATTATGGCACAATTAGCAAAATTACCCAGCACTGTTTTGTGTGTGTGTTGGTGGGGGGAGGGTGTAATGGGTAGAGACTGAATCTGATGGACAGGAAAGTTCCAATCAGTCACTAGAGATGGGGATTTGGTTATGGGGTAGGATTGTGATTTTAGTCAGGTTTCACCATGGCCTGAATGACATAACCCTCAGGATCTCTCCCTGCTCTTATCTGATTTTGTGCCCATCAGTGAACATTCTGGTTAGTCATCTGGTTCCTGATACCCTGATAATGTGAAAGAGTCTGACCTAGGAAAGACCCTCACTGTGGATGAGTAAACTGGCATGCCTGATTATGCACCGAGCTTTTGGAAAGCCCTTGGTGTGAGTTAGCATCAGTGGATCCAAACAATTCTGTCTGGCCTGACTAAGTACACACTCAGACTTCTAAATCTGAAAGGCAGGGAGCAGCCAGCCTCCCAGGGAGGCCTCACAGCTCATCACATCAGTAATGGCCCAGTCCAATCAGGCCTAATTAAATTCACCAGGAGAGGAAATACTCTAGATAAAGTCCAAGCCTGGTATCAGAGAAGTCTGGCTGCAAGCCATTGTCCCAATAGGAACCATGTTAGGAACTCTAAGAAGGATAGGACAGAAACGTAGTGAGTGGAACTGCCAGAGAAGCACAGATTTGTCACAAAGGGATAGAGTCAGAACTTGCAAGATGGCTGACTTAAATATGGGATATCAGGTTAGGTTTTTGAATACTTACTTTCTCTGCTCAGGAGTCAGATTGACCTGAATCTAGAAAACGGGTGGAACTACAGAAATGGATTAAGGCTTTATAGGTCTATTTTTGTTTCTAAGGACTGGGAGGGGGAAAAAGTTTAAGCACAAAAGAGTTAATTGACTCACTTGGAAATATTGGAGGCTAATATTGGCCTCAGGCACAGCCTAATGCATGGGGCACAAATGATGTCACCAGGACCTATTTTCTCTCAACTTATCTCTCAAATAGATGCATGTTGCCTTGACTCTCATACAGATTCTCTCCTACTGAGGACACAACCTGGCAGCAGCTACTCTTGGTCTTCCATTCTCAAAACTTTGGATTCAGTAGAAGAGAGAATCTCTTTCAGAGACTTTTAATGATTCCTTAACTGTAAATGGGTAACTTGCCCATTCTTGAACCTACCATTTGGACCAAAGAAATGTGATTCTCTGATTGGTCAATGTCTGAGTCATTTGATGACTCCTGAAGCCAAGGGTGCAAATGCCCTCATTAGAAAGAAGTATCATGGCACCTTGCCCATAGAAGTAGGAATCTGCTAACGAGTGTGTAACAACTCACCTGCCCAATCAACTAGGACTGAAAATGGATGGCATTGGAGGTTCAGACCCATACTCAGCCATTGCTAGCAGCAACATGAGTGAGAGACATGGGAGCAAATGAGGCCCCCACCTCCGTGCCTCCCTTCCCATCACATTATGTTCCTGATGACAACTATCACAATAGATTTACATTTTCTTCATTAGTTATTCAGTTCTCAGATGTTTATTGAACATCTACCCCAAACCCAGAATTGTGGGAAGTATTAGAGGGAATAATCCACAGGTGGAAAGATATAAGCACTTTTCACATGAATGGTTACAGAAAAACAACTACCTTTTATTTCTGATATATTAAGTTACACATAGTGTGCAGTGTGCAACCTTTGCCTTATAGTTAGACTAAAGGATGGGGTTGATGGTCAGAATAGTTGATGGTAGTGAAGACAAACGATTCTTTTTTTTTTTTTTTAAGATTTTATTTATTTAATTGTCAGAGAGAGAGAGAGCACAAGCAGGGGGAGCAGCAAACAGAGGGAGAAGTAGGCTCCCTGCTGAGCAAGGAGCCTGATGCGGGACTCGATCCCAGGGCCCTGAGATCATGACTTGAGTTGAAGGCAGACACTCAACCCATTGAGCCACCCAGACATCCCAAACCATTTGTTTTTGAGAAAATAATTTGTATTTTTAACTATTCCCTAATTAGTCAATTAAATGTTGATGGCACTATTTTATATATAAGGATATTGATGACCAATCACAAAGTAAATCAAAAAGAGATTTTAGGACCCAGAATTTCTTTAGTTTTTAGTCTTATGTTCATTCACTTTTTTCTTCTGAATCTCACTGGCTGAAACTTTAGCTTTTAAGATATAGTCAGAAAGCAACAGTCAACAAAACCAAAAGACAACCGACAGAATGGGAGAAGATATTTGCAAATGACATATCAGATAAAGGGCTAGTATCCAAAATCTATAAAGAACTTATCAAACTGAACACCCAAAGAACAAATGATCCAATCAAGAAATGGGCGGAAGACATGAACAGATATTTCTGCAAAGAAGACATCCAAATGGCCAAAAGACACATGAAAAAGTGCTCAACATTGTTTGGCATCAGGGAAATCCAAACCAAAACCTCAATGAGATACCACCTCACACCAGTCAGAATGGCTAAAATTAACAAGTCAGGAAACGACAGATGTTGGTGGGGATGCGGAGAAAGGGTAACCCTCCTACACTGTTGGTGGGAATGCAAGCTGGTGCAACCACTCTGGAAACAGTATGGAAGTTCCTCAAAAAGTTGAAAATAGAGCTACCATATGAGCCAGCAATTGCACTACTGGGTATTTACCCCAAAGATAACAAATGTAGGGATCTGAAGGGGTACGTGCACCCTGATGTTTATAGCAGCAATGTCCACAATAGCCAAACTGTGGAAAGAGCCAAGATGTCCATCGACAGATGAATGGATAAAGAAGATGTGGTATGTATATACAATGGAATATTACTCAACCATCAAAAGGAATGAAATCTTGCCATTTGCAACAACGTTGATGGAACTGGAGGGTATTATGCTGAATGAAATAAGTCAGTCAGAGAAAGACAAGTATCATATGATCTCACTGATATGAGGAATTTTTAATCTCAGGAAACAAACTGAGGGTTGCTGGAGTGGTGGGGGTGGGAGGGATGGGGTGGTTGGGTGATAGACATTGGGGAGGGTGTGTGCTATGGTGAGTGCTGTGAATTGTGCAAGACTGTTGAATCACAGACCTGTACCTCTGAAACAAATAATACATTATATGTTAAAAAAAAAAAAAAGATAGCAGGAAGGGAAAAATGAAGGGGGGGAAATTGGAGGGGGAGACGAACCATGAGAGACTATGGACTCTGAGAACCAAACTGAGGGTTCTAGAGGGGTGGGGGTGGGGGGATGGGTTAGCCTGGTGATGGGTATTAAAGAGGGCACATTCTGCGTGGAGCACTGGGTGTTATGCACAAACAATGAATCATGGAACACTACATCAAAAACTAATGATGTAATGTATGGTGACTAACATAACATAATAAAATTTAAAAAAAGATATAGTCAGAAAGCACCTTGTTCAACATTCTTTGGGTTGTCAACTCAAGTATAAATCTGATGAGTTATTTTTGTCATCACTGACTCCTGATCACCCTAAAGATCAATTCCAAACTCCTTGGCACGGAATACTAGACCTTTCACAACCACGCCTCTTTTACTTCTCCTGTCCCTATGCTCACCTCCCTATCCTAACGTTCCCATATGTACCACACTGCCACTGTGCTGAACTAGTCACAGTTCCAATGGTGCATGCTCATCATCACCTCTGTGCCTCCACACAAGCTTTTCCTGCTGTCCATCCCTTTCCTTGCCATCACGTAGCCATCTCCTGTTCATTCACCAGATCCAGCTGAGACATCACTCCCTCCAGAAAGTCTTTTCTTGACACCCTCCAGGGCTGGGTTAGGTGTTCCTCCTTTGTTCCCTCAGCATCCTGCACTTTGCCTGTCCGTGCCCTCATCAGCCTGGGCTGTTTGCTGCCTGTTTCCCTCCAAGGCTCCCCAACAAGGGCAAGAATTCCCAGAGGCCCAAATACAATGAAAACAGGGTGGGGCCTGTGTTTTCACAGCTGTACTCTGGAAATTAGCTCAATAAATATTTTTTGGATGAATGAATAAATGAATGAATAATGAGCCACTTATTATTTGTCACTTTCTTATGTTTCCTCAGAATTACAACCGACCCCCTGTGATGGCATTAGCCATCCCCATAGCAGTGAAATTCCTCCACAGAAGCAACAGGGAACTGTGCAGGAATATGTCCAACTACCTGTCCCTGGCTGCGATCACCAAGGCAGATCTCCTGGCTGATCACACAGACGTTATAGTAAAGAGCATACTCCAAGGTATGGTGCAATGGCTGAGCTTGGGGATGTTTTTTTAGGAGTGGTTTTAAAGTATTTTCATGAACCATTTTTATGGTTTGTGGAAAGGGAGACCTAGAGTATTGAGAAGTATGTTAGATTCTCTGCTTTGCCATTAGTTGGCTGGTGAACAGAGGTGAGGTTTCTTGGGCGGGTGAGTCTATGTCTCTTCACTGGGCAGATGAATTATTTGGATTCACAAGGGAGTTGTAAGCTCTCTCTATTCTAACTATACGTCTCTCAATTTGGAGAATGGTCTTTTCCATGCTTCTGGTTACCTTGTCCAGCTACCAATTATGAAGAATGTATCTGTCTGCACTGAGTAGAACATGTCCCACTGTTCTCAGTGGCAGGGGGAAAACCTTTTCTGCCTTTGGTTTCCAAAAGCAAGGAATGTTAGATAAAACACGCCAGAGAACACATGAAGACTTCTTAAATTTTAACATGTTGGGACTAATTTGTAATTGTGTTAAATACCACCATAAAAAATCAAATTAGGACATCTCTGTTAATTGTTTCACGTTTGCATGAAAGAGATCAGGTTAGTCCAATCAAAATATTCTTTTTGTCTTAAGTTTTTTCCTTTGGCTTTAGATCTATCAGAAACCATTTTATTTTTGTTTTTTTAATTTGGGATCAGAGAACAGTATATGGTATTATGTGATATGCACTCAATGTCCCCAGTTCTCATTAATAAAAATGTATGAGGTCCATGAGTATCTTGGCCCACATTTTACTGTCACATACCCCATGTGCTCAAGTTGAACATCAACCCTCCCAGACCAAGTATTTCTTAGAGTCCCCAAGGGTCCCCACAAATGTTCTCTTTCTTGGTATCCAGACCAGTCCATAAACCCATGCTGTTATTGTCTCCATGCTTCCTGGCACAGCATGCTGTGGTGGTGTCCACTTCCACCACACTAAGCCCAGCAAAGTCTGTGGCTGCTACCCTGGAAGGCCCAGGAGTGGATTTTACTGCACACTGTCTTGCCAGGGATGGCAACCTCTGTTCCTTTGTGCTGCTACCCCCGAAGCTTCAGTCGGGGTACATTAATTTCATGTGGCAGCCTGTGGCAGGATGGGGGAGGGGGGAGAAACACCTGTCTTTCTCCTTGGTGTTACACTTTGGTAGAGAGGCCCCAGAGCGGAGTTGCTTAGCTCCCAATACCAACCTGTTCCCAAGTTTGCAGGAAAACGTATCCATCTGTCCTAAAATGGTCTCTCTCTTTCCTGGGCTCACCTATCCAGCTAAGAGTCAGGCTAGCAAGAAATCAGTCATCCAGTTCTCAAAATGACTATGGCCCACCAAGGACTAAGGTTTGTTTCGTTGTACCAGACATTCCCAAGAAGAGTTCTTGGCAGAGTTCTCTCCAGAACATCTGACCAGCCACCCCAGTGGTCTACCAGATGCCCAGATATGTCTGAACCGCAGCCATGACAGTGGAACTTCATCACTCTACCTGTGTTTCCTTCTAAAGATCTGTCATTGATATTACTAGTCAGTATCATTCATTTCTCATTTTCTTTGGTTACTGGATTGAATTGCTAATTTAACTTCTAATCATGAAACAAAATTTTCTAAAAGTCCAGAAAAGCAGTTATACATTTTTTACCACCTTGGCTACATATTTGGAACAGATTTTATATGATATTACAAACATGTATACACACCACACATTTTAAAACCATGATAGTTAGACTTGCAAGTAACAGATATATTGAAAAAAAAACAAAACAAAACACAAAAATGAGGTGTTTCTTTGCGGCTGCCAAGAACTTAGTTCATGTATTTTTTTTTCTTTTTTTGAAATGCACTTTGAATGACAAAGAAATCTTTTGACGAAATGCACATTCTGAATTCATTGCAAACATTTTAAATAAACAAATGATTTGGTTTATTTGATCTGGCGCTCTAAAAATTACTATAAAAATGATAATTTGACTAAAAGAAGTTGGGACTACATATTTCAGGGCTTAGATTTAGACTAATATGTCTGTAAAACTACAACCGTTCACATGAGCCCATCAACCTTAGACCGGCAAAGTACAGGGGATCTTACTGTCTCTCAGTAAGTTTTCTGCTCTGCAAATCTTTGTCATATATTCCCTGCAATCAGCCTTAGAAGCCATCATTAGGATTTCTTTTTTTCTTTACCTATAGTTTTCTCCCCTTTAGATCTTCCTCCTTGATTTATATTACCTTAATCTGCATTATCCCATTTTTCTACTTCTACAAAAAATGCTAAAGTATTGCAGTTTCTTGATTTGATTTTTTTTTTTTACAAGACTAGAATTAAAAAATTGTAGAATCTTATGTTGGGACATTAAACATGGTTTAGCTCAAGTATCCAGGCAATGCTTAAATCCCCACCCAATGGTCATCCTCTCAATGATAACAATAATGATTATAATAACAATTACAACTACAATGGCTAAAACTTATTTCATGCTCTCTTTATGTCAAATACTGTATTAAGCACTTTATACAGATTATAGGATTATATCATTTAATCCTCACAAGAATTCCATAACAAAATTCCTATTATCCCATGTTACCCATTAGTAGTATTTTAAGTAATAGAAAACCCAGGTAAAAACAACTTGATGATGATGACAATGATGGTGATAATGAAGATGAGGAAGAAAAGAAAAAAGAGGAGGGGGAAAGGGGGGGAGGAGGAAGAGGAGGGCAAGGAGGGAGAACTTCTTATCAGAACACAGGACTGATAAGCGCATAAGTATATCAGGCTTTCCATATAGCTTGACTCAGGGCTCAATGGCAGTCACAAAAGTCATTACTCAGCTCTGCTTCCTTTGGGTTGGATTTTCATGCTCCATGTTATGCCCTCTGCAGCTTCCAACTCACATCATCATGAATACCAATTAAGCAAAAGAAACATATTCAGTCTCGTTGTCTCTCTTTGACCTGACATGGGTCACATGCCCAATTCTGAAGCAATCCATCATCATTGTCAAGGAATACAGTATTTCAGTTGACCAGGCTTGGATAAGGAACCACCGTCAAAGCAGGAGTTGGGGGTCAACTGCAGTAGAACCACATGAATGGGGTGCAGATCACCCCCCAACCAAATCCAGGGCTATTGCCAGGAATGGCTAAAATGAATACTGGGTACCAACAAACAGCTTTATGTATTTACTTTTATCCTTTTATACTTTCTATTTTAGAGATTCAGCCCATTGCTTTGGCATAACAAGACCTTATTGAATAATGATTCTTCCATCTCAGTGTATCTGCAGTTCTTCCCAGGTTCTTGGCATCTGTAAATTTTAGGAATAGAACCACTCTCCCTTCGTTTTAAAACACTAATGAAAAAGTAGATCAGATGGGGCCAGGCAAGACTTGTTGTATGCCAGTGGTGACTCCTCCTTATTCTTGATTGATATTACTCCATTGATTATATTTTTCAGTCGTTTTATTCAGATGTCTGTCCCTGATTGCAAATGAAATGCCTCCTTTATGCTTGTAAGTCAGTTATGAGAGACTGTTAAATGAGCTTATGTATCTATCCTTGAAGGCAAATATTTCAGTAATTCCGAGCCAATTTTTACTACTTTTCATTACTAATAATTATATATAAGTAATAATGTTGACTTTTACATCAAATGTAAATAGAAATTGATTTTATTTAAATTGCTTAGGCTCCATTTGTCTGTTTTGTATTCTCCAAATTCTTCCAGTGAGAAGGGAACTGTGAAAAGTCCTTCCATTTGGAGAAAAGATTAAAGGCATGGGCAATATTGTCTTGGTGCATACTTGAGAGCAAAGGGGTTAGAAAACCTGAATATACCTATAACAAATAAGACAATTATATCAGTATTTTTAACCCCCACCCCCACAAAAGAAAAAAAAAGTGTCCAATTTAGTTTTATAGACTGATTAGAACAAATATGCAAGTAATAATTACAGGCTTGACTATACTTTTTCAGATAATTAAAAAACATTCTCCAACCAATTCTGTGAGGCTAGTATATATGTGATATCAAAACAAGAACAGGACAACATAAGAAAGGAAAATCAGGCCCATCTTAATTATGAACATTGATGCACAAATCACAAATCATGAATCAAAATGACTGCAGCAATGCTTAAGGGAAATAATAGTTCATATTTGCTGAGCACTTCCTGTGTACCATTTTCTGGTCTTTTAAGTCATGTAATTCTCCCAGTATCTTATGAGGGAAGAACTATTGTTATTCTCATTTTATAAAATTCATAATGATTCAGTTGAGTTTATGCTAGGAATGCAAGCTTGTCTTTTTTTTTTTTTTAAGATTTATTTATTTGACAGAGAGAGACACAGGGAGAGAGGGAACACAAGCAGGGGGAGTGGGAGAGGGAGAAGCAGGCTTCCCGTGGAGCAGGGAGCCCGATGTGGGGCTCGATCCCAGGACCTCAGGATCATGACCTGAGCCAAAGGCAGACGCTTAACGGCTGAGACACCCAGGCACCCCTCAGTTGTGCCTTTTACAGATATTTTCTCTTAGTCTGTGGCTTGTCTTCTCATTCTCTTGTCACTGTGTTTCACAAAGTAGAAGTTTTTAATTCTAATGAAGTCCAGCTTATCAATTCATTCTTTTTATTTTTATTTATTTATTTTTTTAAGATTTTGTTTATTTCACAGAGAGAGACACAGTGAGAGAGGGAACACAAGCAGGGGGAGTGGGAGAGGGAGAAGCAGGCTTCCCGCTGAGCAGGGGCTCGATCCCAGGACCCTGGGACCATGACCTGAGCCAAAGGCTGACAGGGACTGAGCCACCCAGGCGCCCTGCAAGCATGTCTTAATATTCAAAATGTAATTCCCCCCAAGTAAAAGACTAAAAGGTCAAAAAGTCATCTGATCAGTAAGAGCATCGCATAAATTCAGTACCCATGCATGAAAAAAAAGTTTTTTGATGGGGCACCTGGGTGGCTTAGTCAGTTAAGCTTCTGCCTTTGGCTCAGGTCATGATCCTGGGACCCT